GTAAATAAATGTTTAAATTAAAAAAAAAAACACAAACGACTTGTTTTGCATGCAACACACATAGCTTGTTTTAATAAAGTGCTCAACTTTAAACCAGATTTAGAAGTTTCCATTTATACAAAGTGTGAAAAACATTTAGATAATACGACAAAGAAAAAACTGTTAATAATTCAATCCTGCAGGGCTGCTCAAAACCTGTCAGGGGCCCTAAGCAGAACTGCACCCTGACTCCCTATCATAAGTGTATATTATAGGGTTTATCTGAAAGGAAAGGTGGTAAAACCAACATAAACACAACCAAACACAAAAACAATGTACATTAGGACCATAGACTACATATAAAAATGGATGATGTGTCTCCACCTCTTGCCTCTGTGCAAAAGTGAAGCCATGACAGGTGCGGGCATGTTGCTTTTGTGAAGCATTTTGTAACCAGATTCTACACAGCAACGACCACGGTGTGAGGCCACCAAGCAACGCTGCCAGATCATCCAAAATACACTATCATCAAATAACTTATTAAAACAAACTTATTAGAAAAAAATGAGCACTACAAAAATCAGCAGGACAATCCATCCATTATCTATACCTCTTATCCTAACGAGGGTCGCGGGGGGCTGGAGCGAATCCCAGCTGACACTTGGCGTGAGGCGGGGACCACCCTGGACAGGTTGACGGTCTATTGCAGGGCTCATGTCCCATTCACTAACGTGAAGGGGGTGGAGCTTATGATCTACTGTATAGTGCAACCAGGCACCAGCGGTGATTGAGTTGTGATGGCTTCACTTATGGGAGGGGTCACATGTCCATCTTTATATACAGTCTATAGAGACAGAGCGCAACATGTGAAAACCACACCCACTGGGGGGAACTCCCTCTTCATTGACTTTGTATCACATGAAGGCAGCTCTTTGACAGTTTGGTCTATTTACATATAACTGAAAAATACCTAAAAGCTGCTGTGTGGTAGGATGCATCACCAAGAAGGCAAAGAACCCAGAATTAAAGTTTAAAAGGCTGCCAAACAAACAACAGAAGAAGCTTGTTTACTCATGCACTATTGTTCTTTTCACTGCTGTTGGCTTAGGAAAGATAGAGATGTATAAACACAGCCTCCATGACACCTGCTGCCTCCTTTCACCTGCCAATGATGAGCTTCACTAGAATGATGTAATATTCACGGACATTCACCAGAAAGCTGTATTTCATCAGTTCTGTCTGGACAAAAAACAAGAAAAATAAATCTCACTCATCAACATGTCACAGCACCAAAAGGTCAAGAACTCCTTTAAAAGGCCAAGCAGCCTCCTACAGCTTTCCAGAAAACACCAGATTTTTACACGAATCATTTCAAACACTTGGCTGATCAAACACTAGAAAGTAGGCGCCAGTAATAGCCACTATGACTAAGTGCATAGTGATCTATATCTAGGGCAACTTGCCAGCTTTTTCCTCTCAGCTAACACCACCATTGTAATATCAGATCATTGTGGCTCAAGGAAATCCCTCACTTCTCTTACCATAGGGAGAATTTATGCAGGTTTGGATGACAGAAAAGTGAGAAACCTTTGTTTTGTAAGGTTGTCTGGTGGCCATCGGGCCCTAAGCAGCTGTAGTAAATGTCCTGTATGTCTTGGTTCCACTACACATTTTTAAGACATACTGTGCAATGCAAGATGCAGTTAGCTGGTAATGCAACAGA